CAGCATTTGGTTCTGTTGTGCATAGAGTTGCTTTGAGTCAAAGTCAAATGGACAGGGTCTAACACCACCACCACTTCCATCGCCATGACTCAGGCTTTTCATTTTAAAACCTTAATGTCAGGGAAGCATAAGTTTACTACGGAAAACAATGCAAAATCTCCAAAGAAAAATAAAGAGGAGTGAATTCATGGTTTTAGCCAAAGGCCATTTAGAATCTCCCAAAGGGGGACATGCTAAAGATCATTTAATTGTGGTGTCTCAACCTATAAGCATTAAGTCAAAAAGAACTGTTACTAGAATTCCAGTTCATACCTGCCTAGGTTACTCTAAACCTGTCTCTGCCATCAGTGGGTAGCTGCAGACAACTTCTCACAGGAATACATTTGTCTGAGTCTCACTACAGTGCCTTCCTGACCCAACCCTGAAATCCATGACAGGTCAACTGCAGTGACAGCCACTAAATCAATGGTTCCTTGGGGTTATTATAAGGGAGGTTGGCGGAGGGCAACAGATGCTAGTAACAATGGATGCAAGAACAAAGAAAATGTCCCAAAACTGTGGCAATGACTCCACAGTGGCATTTGAACTATTGATTTATATGTGAGGTGTACATCAACAAAATGGTTATAAACAAATATATCAGCCTTAACTGCTTTGTGGCATAGTTTGACATTCATTCATTTTCTCAAAAGTCACAAAGTTATCACAGGAGATTAAAAGACGTTTTCAGAACACTGGAAGGGATTGGGGAGGAACAGGAGAAAAAGAAAGAACACTGGAAACTGCACTGGTGAGAATGTCAGTAGAGTTTTACTGAGGAAATTCCTTTTGGCATCATGACAATGTACTACCTCATTCTCTGAAGGTAGCAAGAGCTGCCTTATGGAATTCTGGTTGGAAAGTCTTACTCCATCTACCCTGTAGCCCACATTTTGTTCTTTTAGATTTCTTTCGTTTCCCCAAACTCAAATAACATTTCAAAGAAACATGACTGGAGTTCAAGAACGGTAGAACTGCTGTTTTGACCTGGTGCAAATCCGCGTGCTCATAATTCTTCAGGGAAGTGTTAGAGAGCTAGAAATGCCACCTTCAGAAGTCATGAAAGGATACATCAAGAAACAAACACTTAACATTTGTTTTTTAATTTAACAGAGGTTTCCTTTTTTCCTTTTTTGTAGTAACACTTTTGGACTAACCCTTGTAATTTAATGTGGCTTGATTATATTTTTTACTCTAATTTTCTTTTATGTGCTATCTCTCTAAACGTTTTGTTGTTGTTGTTGTTGTTGTTTTTGCTTTTAAACTTCTATGAAATATGTAAAATATTTAATTCTGGAATTTTTCATTTTGAAGTCCTTTTTTTTAACAGTGGCAAAAATTCTTTTATTCAAATTCCGTAATTTCAAACTTCAAAATTAGTTTGTATCAATTATCTCACATAAGTCTCCTTTTGGTCCTATGAAGGAAGCTCAGCATGCTTGGGAAAGCAAAAGTTTAGGTAGATGAATTATCTTCAGGATCACCAAGGTAATCTATAAACAGCAAAGCCAAAACGGAAGCTCAGATCTTTGAGGCATTACAAGGTTCTTTCACTGTGCTAAATAGAATGGTGAACTTAAAAAATTCTTCTAGAGTTAATTTCGCACACGTCAAAGGTGGAATGAATGAGCATGCCTTCTGGACACACTGTCCAAGATGTCTTAAGCAACACAACCAAGTTCAGCGGAAGATGGGAGCAGTCATTATCCAGTGCACCTAGGGTTTAGTCAGCTGGAAGTATTTACTGCACGAAGGATGGCACAACTTAAGATTTGCTGTGAGGTCTCGTGCACTGTGAGCAGGGTCAGCATTGCATGTTAGCAAAATGAGGCTTTTAGGAGCCTCTACCAAAAGGTGGATCTTCTGGTGGATGGCCCTGGGTCGATTGTGTGAGCATTGGTAGTGTCCACATGGACTAGCGTGTAGGTGGTTTCTGAAGAGACTTTTGCTATCCTGCAACTTGTTCACACCGTGAAGGTCACTGTTTAATGCAATAGTCCACTGGAGCAGCTTCCTCTGAAACAGTCCATGTGGTCACTGAGTAGGATGGAGTCCTTTCCCTTTGCTGTGCAGTGGCATCTGTGTACATGCATTTTGTTGTAGATGTGCTGATGAAAGAATTATGTCTAGTCCTTTAGGAAACAGGTGCACATTAATCATAGCAGAAAATTCGTGATTAGTTACAGGTTTTCCTGGCACTGACCAAAAAAGATGCTTCAATCCATGCAGCTATATACAAATTTTAACTAATCTTAGCACTTATCAACAATGCTACTAGATGTTCATGGACATATGTTATGTCCTCAACAAAAATCATGAGAAGGTGCTGTGATATTGTCAGTTAGTTGTGTTGACATGGTATTCAAAGGTGTGTTGGCCTCAGTCACTCACTGGGGTTGGAGAAGCAGCGGTAGGCCTGTCACAAGGACGTTACTTTGATTCCACTGGAGTAATGACATGGGGTAGGAGTGCAGTGTGCCATATCAACGGTCAAGGAGGTGACATCAGACACAGCTCATCCAACTGCTCAACGTTTTTAAGTTTAAGACCTGTGATCATTGCTACGAGGCTGAAAATGACTTCTTTAAGATCATTTTAAAGTTCTGTAATGACTTCAGACACTTCAGAATGCTTGGGTTCTGGCTCCTCCTCCCTCATCTTTTTCATGGTACCTCACTGGGCACATTTTGTGGCTCTGTGACTAGATTTGGTGTTTCAGGTATTGCTTCTTGGCCCGCCAATGGTAGAGGTTTATCCTCAGCCATATCCGATATAGTCAGCATCAGTGCTTCCAAGTCATTACTTGGACAAACGTCGTTGATTTTGATACTTGTAAACGTAGGAAAATTCTCGCTGCTCTTAATTATGAATCTTTTGAATATGTGTTTGTTAACAGATCTTCACATCCACTGCTTGCTCTTAAACGCACACCACAGAGGCTTATCTTGACCAACTCCATGAAAGCCACATCCCCTGAAGTCTCCAACGTCTCCAATCTCTAGGACCATGAGTGATTCCTCAGTCTTCCATTCCTACAAAGTACTTTTATACAAACATAAACCAAAGACTAGCCTTGAAGAATTATTTTGGAAATCACTATTCAGATAAAATTCCATTTAAAAATGTAGCAGAATATCTAAATTACTTTTATATATAATAATTTACCTCGTGAGTTCAAGTTAATAGAGCTCCTGCCTGAAGATTAGGAGCCTACTGGATACACTGGTACTAGAACATTCTAATAGCCCTCTGACAGTTACATAATCTCCTGTTGACTTGCAAAAGCGTGGAGTCTAGCGTGTCAATCAGGTGGCAGCTTTGATGACCTCATCAGAGGTGGGAGGTGGGAAGGAGATAAATAGCTCACTGGAGGCCAGATACACTCTGCTTGTCTCCCTGTGAGACATTCCTGTTTACAAGCCACATGGAGCTAAGCTGATGGAGCTGGAGGAACCAGTGCTGAGATACTGCCACTGGATCCACAAGACTTTGCACCCACTGGCCTGTGATCTTCCTGCATTCAACATCATTGCATGTGTTGCGTGAGTCTGAAGAGGAATTTATGTATGTTTCGGACATACAGGCTAAAATTGGACTTAAGGACTTGATCTGGATTGGGCTGGGATGTTTTCTCAATGTACAATTGCTCTTTTATATAAAGCTCTTCCTTATACACATAGGAGTGTCTCTGGATTTGTTTCTCTAGTCCACCTAGAGTAACACAGCTCTAAAAGTTATGTCAGCAGGACTCACCTACACACAGGTTACATTTATGGCGTATTCCAGGAGCCAGTGGCATAGTGGCTATTGAGCTGGGCTGCTAACCACACGTCAGCAGTTCAAAAAAGATCGGAGTTAATGATGAGCTCTACTATATCTTAAAAAATACTTTTTACTTATCTGATCCTCTCATTCCTGCCTCAGCTTCTGCTACAGGATAACAGTGATAAGGTATCTTTCTAGCAACTGGAAAATAGCAGTGAAATAAAGTACATAAAGTTACAAAGAATAAAGAACCCCAACATGATGTAATTCTTCATGAAATGTCATTTTTCCACAAGGAGGGGTACTTACCTTACAGAGCTCCTTCCCCCACCAAACTAGTCCCAGCAGAACACAAAAACTGGGCTACAAATTCATATCATCTACCATATATACACGAGTATAAACCAACCCGACTATCAGTCAAGGCACCTCATTTCACCACAAAAATTGCTTTAAAAATGTGCTGGGAAAACTGGGCTTACACACAAGTATATACGGTGCATATATAGATATATACATATAACCACACATACATGCACACAGGGGTTTCATAAATCCCATGGAAAATTCCATTATATTTCCATAAACTCGTTGAAGCTTCCTCATATGAGTATAATACAATGATAGAGTACTATTTCAAATAAACCATATCCATGGGTTATAATGAACTTAAATAATCTAAGTCCCAGCAAATGACTGCAAGTGAGTCCAAAAATATAGAATGCTTTAAAATGATGGTTCAATTAATTGCAGGTAGAGGACAAGAGCCAACTGTTAGGTTACACTGCAGTGCTATGGAAGCATGATCTAGGTTTCATTCTAACAGTTAACATTTATACAGCGCTCACTTAGAACCAGGGCCTATGCCAAGGGCTCCACATTTTTTGCAAAATAACAGGAGGAGACAGAAGAGAAAACAATTAAGTTTTTACATTTTTGTATGTGACATAACTAGTAACTGGTGTGAAAATTCAAACCTAAAGTCTGACACCAGGGTTTCGTACCCTTTACTACTAGAGTATGTTAGCCTCCTTTATGAAACAAAAAGTTGACCAATAAATAAAATCTTCAATATGAATCTGAATAGCACGGTCTGTCTCCTGATTAGACTGAACACAGGCCACGTAATGTACATGTATTTAAAATTAAGAAATGAAAATCGATCACCCATAACCAAATAGCCAAAATCCATTTACCTTCTGTATTACTGGCTGTTGGCTCAGGAGGGACCCTCCCATCATTTACATGAGCGCTCTCCTCCTCTGCATAGAGGTGGTCCTCCTCTCGATTTTCAGGCCAGGGTGGCACTTCATTCGTGTCTGTTGAGCAGCTGCATACATCCTCATTCTTGTTGAAATACCTCTGCAGCCATCCAGGAACAATATTCTTGACAGATTCTGTAACTCTGCTAAGAATGCCCTGCTGGGAGGGAAAAATACATAAAGTCTTAGAATTTTACCATCTTTTAAAAATACCCATTAAAAAAAATACCCACTGAGCGGCTGAAAAAGATCCGCGCCCACAGAGGGCTGCGCCACTTCTGGGGCCTTTGAGTTCGAGGCCAGCACACCAACACCACCGGCCGCTGTGGCCGAACTGTTGGTGTGTCCAAGAAGAAATAAAGACTATCAACCTTGTCTGTTAATAAATAGCTTATACCAAAAAATACCCATTTACATAAGGTTATGTCAAGGAAGATCCAAGACTCAGTTACGGATGACCAGACTGTCTATCATCCAACAGCTTAACTCACTTCTTTGAGCTCATGCTGCTACTGCGGCCTTTTATACATTCTATAGCCAGAAAGTGTGTACTTTTTCTTTCTCCTCTATGTAGACAACTATGAGCCAATAATAACCCCAAGTGGCCATATTACTCAAATTATTTCAAAACCCCAATCAGCTATCATATAAGCAATATATCTTTTAGATTTTAGCAATAGACTATGCTTTAAAATCTTTTAATCTCAGGAAAAAGATATCCATTTTGATACCAGTATATCAAAAAAACATAGATTCAACAGTCTTCTGAATTATTGTACCTCACATTTTAAGAAAAAGAGAATTTAGACAAATACAAGTGATATTTTAAAGACAACTAATCCAACATAATAAATTCAAGAAATAATCCAAGATCTTTTCTGATAAGGAAATTTCACTGTATCTTTGAAAATCTGGGAATTAACTTCATTATAGAAATTTTAAAGAAAGTAATCTGCACAGTAACTATTAGAATTATTGACATTGACTGTAGCTTGCTATCTGTCAGGCACTGTTCTACCCAATGAAGGCGTCCTAGTGGCAGACTGGGCTACACACTGAACTATTAACCAGAAATTCGGTCAGCAGTTCACATGTACCATCTGCCCCTTCCCCGGGAGGAATGATGAGACTGTTTACTTCCGTAAATATTTAAAGTCTCGGAAGCCCCAAGGGGCAGTTCTGTCCTGGTCCTGTATGGTCACTACGACTAGGGATGGACTTGATAGCAGTGAGTTAGTGTTTTTTCCACAGATTTAAAAGCTCCTGGTATTTCTCAAGTTAATCCTGACAATGGCTCTGACATTAGTCTGGATCATACACTCACAAATTTATCTCCCCTAGCAACTAAAAACTTTTGTGCCATAGCCCATAATCCAAGATAAAGCATGGGTAGAGATGTGCTTTTGCAGCCCCCCAGGATCTTTTCAGCGCCTCCACTTTGGAAACCACTGGTGTGGATGAAGACAATAAAGGCTGGTCACCTGTTCAAGGTAACCACCGTTAACTCCAAGCCAAGAGACGGCATGAAGCATGGGCTTAGACAGTTGGCAGTCGTACAAACTAAAATCAAATATGAATACTTTCGTGCACTTTGGCAAACCTCCTATTTTTAATGTGATAGAAAATATGAAAATAAAATGAAATGTCACACTTTGCAAAGCAAAACAGAAATCTACAATGGTGGTATTATAACTAAATAAAGGAACATCCTAATAGAAACAAATTAAGAGCAAAGTTACCAATTTTAGGCAACGATTTACTTCACTGAGTAGCACTGGCAGGGTTTTAGGGAACGAGCCACAGAAGAGAAAGAATGACTTTGTAGGCACATACAAGTAAGTTAGGGTAACACAGAACACACATGTTGACACAGGAGGCAAACCCAAAGAGGCTTTGAAAAATCCTGTCAGCTGAAAATATGGAATACCTCTGATGGGAGTACTTAAGGAACAGTATTTCCCTTAAGGCTTCAAAAGAGTTAAGTAACAACTCAGGCATTTCTTCACTACTTTCCCATGTATTCTCCACACAAAATTTCAACAATTTTGCCATGTAAGTTTTCTAACCAATTCATCAATAACCCACTACTCACAAACGAAACAAAGTGCACAGTTGCCCATTTCTGTGCTAATGTTACATACTATTAATTACTATGGAGGGAGTAAACATTCTATACCTACATCCAAACTTTAAAAAACATTAATTAAAACATACTTACAATACTAGCTACTTTCTCCTATGTGTAATCATCTTATTTTGAAACTTACTCCAGGCCCAGGTCCAGACAGAAATGAGGCGTCAACGTAGAAGAAGGACCACTCATCAAAAGGGTTGATTAAGCCTAACTTAAAACTGAACATAACACTTAACCAAACATCACTTGTATCACAGTCTTACAACAGCTTGTAAAATACTGGGAGGGTAGAGGGAGAGTGGGTAGGAAAGAGGGAACCGATTACAAGGAACTATATGTGACCTCCTCCCTGGGGGACAGACAACAGAAA